GAGAGCCGCGGACGCGAAAGGCGAAGAGGGGTGGGGGGAGTGTTCCAAGAGGCAAGAGGATCCGCTCCGCTTCTATCACCCCCCCCCTCTGCTCCAGAGAAGCCGGATGCGAGCGAGTCTCCACGAGCCTCGGTTCCCTCTCCCAGCAGCTGAGTTCTTGAAACCCTCCCCGGACTTTCTGGCAGTGGAGGACAGCATTCCACTCCCTCTTCCAAGCCCCAAGTGGCCAGCCTTTTGCCTCCATGGCTCTCGCTCCAGCCTTGTCCGGGCTCCTCCTCGGCAGGCCTGCCGGAGCTCTGGGAGAAAGCGGCAGGAGCAGAATGCTGTCCTCTATTGCCGGAAAGTCCGGGAGGGAAGCGGGGCTGGCCCGTTTCCTCCTGGGACTGCTGGGAGAGGGAACTGGGGCTCGTGGAGACTCGCTCGCAGCCGGCTTCTCTGGAGCAGAGGGGGGGGTGATAGAAGCGGAGCGGATCCTCTTGCCTCTTGGAACACTCCCCCCACCCCTCTTCGCCTTTCGCCTCCGCGGCTCTCGCTCCAGCCTGCTGGCAGGGGGGTGGGGTTGCCTCACCAGCCAGAAGCTTCATCGCACGTCACTGGGATATATTATATCCTGATGTGGCCCTTTCATTGCATGCATGCCTTAAGTTACTGATTAGGCCTACTGTCACCAGATCTTTTACTTGTTGTTTCTACCTTCCTCAGTTTTTCCCCTCCCTTTTTTATTTTTTATTTTGAAACAATCTATTTCTTCATTAACATCATCCTATCTCAATTTTAGGGCCTGGAAGCAAAGAGATAGTTGAAAGTTGGACTCAGTAGTGTTGGACTCAGTAGTGATGGCAGAGTTGGCTTACTTTGTTTTGTACATTTTATTTCCATTACTTCGACTGTCTCTTATTTAACTGTAATAAAACAGCTGCATGTTCACAATCTGTCAAGTGCTATAAGCTCAGGAAAGAAGAACCACTTGAATTTTTAAAAAGATCTTTATTGCTGGTAGAGTATTCTAACAGAATCTTGAAAGCCTATCAAAGTGACTCTCTCACTCAACTTATACCTAGTATTATTAAAGCAGAGTTGCTTTGCATCTCTTTGTCATATTTATTCCTTTATAAGCTTAAGGAATATTTTTGAACTGATTTCAGCTATCTTGTTTAACTGTTTAGTTCCATACTCCATGCTCCTAGAATCTGGCAGGCATTCCATCATTTAAATGTAACTGGTTGGACACCTAGATTCTCCTGTTTTTTTTTAATACTAGTGTAACATTGTCATTATGTGAAAATCAATGGTTTGGAATAAAGATTCAGAGAATTTAATTTGCAACAAAACTATTCAAAATAAATAGAGAGAAACATTGAATATATAGTGAGTTTTTTCAGTTTTTCAGTCTATAACAGTTACATAAACGAACTTCTTTTTGAATATGTTTTTATTTTATTGAAAACAAAATTAAAATAAATTGCCATGCTTTCCATAAGGAAGGGACAAAGGTTATCCAAAACAACATATATCGAAAGAAAAGAAAAAGAAAAAAGCAATTAGAATCCAGAAAGGAGTTGAAATAAATCATCATTCAAGGCTAATCAACAAGTAAACATATTAGTCAAAATATCTTGGTCATTACAGACTGTAAATGAATTTTATTGTGCATTTTAGAAGATTTGGGTGAAAAGTAGAAACAATAATTTCTGTCAATTATAAGACTTTTCAAATATCTTATAAAATCTTATATATTTCTTGTTTATAACTGAACAAATAAATATATCTCAAAAACTGGCAGTCTTTGCAAAATATGCTGAAGTGTATCAGCATAGAAAAATTTTGTTTTATTAATTACTAATTTCTCTTTTACAGCTTCTCAGTATTTGAATAGACCACATCATGCGTGAGTACAAGCTAGTGGTCCTTGGCTCAGGTGGTGTAGGCAAGTCTGCTTTGGTAAGTTTAATGCTCAGTAAAGAGCAAAGTTTCTCACTTCTTCAAGAATTTGATTTTTTTTTAAAGTGTATTTGGAATCTTCCAAGTTTGACCCTTGATACAATAGTCAAGATGTTTGAATATAAAATATTCAGAAAAGAGATATTTCTTAAGTAGTTGCTTCTATAATATTCATATGGCAAAATTCTGAATTGAACTGAACAAGAAAACTTAGAATATTTACATCAAGTTTATCTGATTTCCATTTTCATGTGAGCTGCTATATCATCTAGAATGCCTGGGAATTGATATTTGCTTAGTAAACACATTGCCGTCTTAAAGCTTTTTCTAATAACCAATTTCTAAATTATTATGTATGTAAACTCAGCAGTGTGTGTGTTTGTGTGTGTGCGTATATTTGTAATCTCAATACATTAAATATCTTTAAACATATATGAAGTTGTTACACTTTTTTCTTGATAAATGAACCTTGTACCAAACTTTGTAATATATTTTAATTAAAATTTGGAAGAAGTACCAGCAACCAAATACAATAAAACAAGTGATCGCAACAAATCTAGAGAAACATTTTGCCACCCTTAATTTAGACCAATGGCATCTGTGTGCATTTTGAATGAAACAGGTGTTTTTCACAAAATGTTGCGCTTTGAAATAAGGACAATACAGTAGGTTATAACTGGAAAGCAACAGTCAGGCTTTGGATCCATGCTAGATGCTCTCTGAGCACTTAATTGCATCTCTTGGACTACCTTTGATTTTTAATGTAATGCAAGGTAGATAATTAAGTCCCAATCGCCAGCATTGTAAAGGGTTTAAGAGCGTTTTGAAAAGTTTATAGTTAAAACCCATATTGTATTTTTAGTTAACTGAAACTGAATTGATGCAGCTGAATATTGTTAGAAGCTTAAAATACCACAGTTTAGATGCTGATAAACACTGATGCTTACTTTAAATTCTAAGCCTTAAATTACTATGCCTCCATGTTTACTTTACTGCTCTTTTAAGTATCATATACATATGTAGCCTTGAATAAAAAAAATAATATGTTTGGTGTTGGCCTTCTAAAAGGAGTGGATTAGATAGTGTAGGTTTTTGTAACATTCTGTGACTAATGATTTGTAATGCTGAAATAGATGAGACTAAAAACTGCAATGGTAAATCTCTTTTTAGTGGTTGTCCTCATTATCCTTTAAAGTAATAAAATTAGAAAGAACTGATTCCCAAACAACCTTTTCTCGAAAAGATTGTGATCACAAAGCAAGTGAATTTAAATTGATGTGTTATACAGTAGATAGGTATTTTTAAAATGTAATCAATTTGAATCATATGGAAATCATTAATTTAAAAAGACTGAGTTTAATTATATAGATCCTATTTATTCACTAGTCTGGAAGTTTCTAAAATTGTTTCTAGTACTAAAATGGATTCTTGATTTTGTATGTTTGTGTTTTCAGTACTTTTGTATGTCCACTATACTTTGAAAAAAGTTGTATTTGAAAAATGCCTTTTAAAGATTCTTTTTATTAGAAATAACAATCACTGAGAACAGAATTCTCTTTTTAAAATACAGGGAATTTATGTGCAATACATTTTTATACTAAAATCTTATACTTTGGCCAGATAGATTTTTTAGTTTCTCCTTGGCATTCTTCTTTTCATCTTTGCACTCAAAAAAGTCCCTCCTTGACTGATCTCTTTTTATTATATTTTATTTAGTGGTGACAAAGTCAATGTTAATATTGTTGAAGCTGGCCTTGCTGGATGACCCTGGGAAAAAAAGCTTTATTTTTCACTATTAGGAAATAGCATTAACTTATTTAATTCTGATAAGATGATAGAAAGTTACTATCATTAACCCACAACTTTATTAGGCACTCTACTGAGAGCTATATTTGCTTGGTCTGAGTACTTCCAGATGTGTACATTTGAAAAGAAGAATTTTCCAATTCACATAGTCATTGCTAAGACATCTGAAGTTCAACGTTGTTATCGGGAGGATATTTTGATTGAAGAGGGCTGTTGAAAATAAAGATAACATAGTCTATTTTTCTGATGTACTTAGCTTAGTCTATGTAGTTTTGATCAATATTCAGCATAGTCCCACATTTTGGATAAAAAAGTGAAATTTAGTATTTTGGCTTCACAAATGGTAATACTTATCTGGTTTTATGTTATAATAAATCTACTTGACATTTTGTAAAGTTGTAAATTCAGTTCAGGTTTCTTACATGTTTAAGCAGACTCATCAGGAAGACAGTATTTAAAGATACAGCAAAAGAGAATCCAGAAATAAATTGAACCAGAATTTTTTTCTGCCAGTTACCGTACTGACCTGTGATTGTTCCCTATCTACCAGTAGCTTTTGACTCCATCCAGACACATCCACACTTAGAGAACTGCTTCCTCTCATATATTCCATTTTGGATCTTGAGATTATCCTTGAGGATTTATTTTTTAGTTGTTAAGTGAAATAAGGTAATAAAAAGAAGAGGAACTACTATACTTTTATTTTGATTGCATCTTCTTGGAGAAGAGCATACTTAGTATATGTAGTCGTCCAATAATTACGACAAGCAGGATGGATAGGCAGGATTGAATTGGTGGACTTGATATATTTTGATTTCACCAAAACATTTAATAATGTACATCAAAGATACTAATTAGCAAATTAGTTGAATCAGGATTGGATATTCACAATTAAGTGGATACATAATATATTCAGTATCCACCTGTGCAATTTAAAAGTTGCATAACCTACTCCAGATTCCTACAAATGAAGGCATGTATTGCTGAAATAAATAAGTTATTCCTATAGCAACTCTTACTTTTTGTTTCCCCTTCAAATTTTAGATTACAATCTCCTTCAGGAAGAGATTAGTTTTCCTATACTCAACATAGCACTAAATGTGCTAATGGTGATAAATAATAATAAGCAGTTGCTTACAAAAAATATTCTACCATTGGCTAAATTTAAGCCACAGTACCACAAGTCTTTACCGTTCCTCTTATGCAATTATGCCTTTGATAAAAATATAAAAATATGATATAATTAATAAAATGCATGTTCTAAATAATTAAAATAACACTGATGCATACTCTTCTTTTGCTATTTGAAGGAAAGCTATTACAACATACGTATTTACAGAGTAGCTGCACTCCTGTATTTAGAACACTGGCTCTTTTGCAAATGGCTTAGGCAAGTGAGAATTTTCTATAATTCTGTGTTTCTTTGGCAATAAATAACTATGTTCGAATCATTTATCCTATGTCCACACTGTACTTCAATCTAATTATTTGGGTCATCTTCCCCATTGAAGTTAAAAAAAAACTAGGATGAGTTACATAAAAACAACTTAAACTGGTGTTCATTTTGATTATATATTGGGAGACCTTATATATAGGAGAAAGTATAGGTTGAGCTAGACTGGTTAGTATGTCCGTTGTCAACCCTCCCTAAACACAATTGCAAGAAAGCACCTATGAGCATGAAAAGTATAACATTGGTTTCTTGCTTGTTAAGAATTTTCTGAAGCATTCATCATTTTGTTGAATACAATGATGTATTCTGCAATTAGACTTTCAAATCTGAAACCATTTATTAGGAGCAATAGTACTTCTATTCCTTGTTCTCAAGAGAAATTTTGCAACTAAACAAAATGGGGTTTTATTTAAGGATGTAGTAATTATTTTTCAGTCACTGCAGAAAAAGCTCACTCAATATAAAGGGGAAACACCCAAATCCTATGCTTTTGAATTATTTTCATTTAATTGTAGAAAGCAAAGGATTTCATTTTTAGAGTTAATGCTTGTTCAAAAGTGAGAGAGGCCTATTTTGAAAGCTGTTGGTTGGCCTTAAATCAATGTAAAATGGTGGTGGTGTGTTTATAATATAGCTCATAGAGAGTAGTAAAGTTGCTGAAAAATAGGAAGATTATAACAAAGGGTAGCTTAAGTCATTGGAACCTTATTCTAAATTTCTCATTGTTTACATTTTTATTTATGGATAAGAAGCACATGTTGCTTCAGTAATGAACTCTAATTTAAATTAGAACTTCTTTATGCACAACTATCAGAATCTAGCTTCCTATAGTATCTTTTTTGACTAAAAGAATGAGAGAACAACAAGATAACATACATACATACATACATACATACATACATACATACATACATACATACATACATACATTTAGTGTCACAACCCCTGGTATGCCCCAATTATGGGAGGAAACTAACTGCTTCCATTATCTGTCAATCGGCTCGTCACAAGAGTCCATCACGACATATGCATATATATATATATATATATATTGTGTTATATTTGTGCTGGTTCAATATATATATATTGAACCTTTTGGCCTTACTTCAGGTTTATTATTTCATGCCCACTTATCTGTGAGCTATGATTGTCAACATAGTGCCTTGATTCTGAAACATCACATCTTTAATATATCATCTAATAAGTGTATCTATTTGTGTGTGTGTGTGTGTGTGTTTGTGTTTGTGTGTGTGTGAATGTGCATAATACACACACATATATTGTGTTTATACATACATACATACATACATACATACATATATTGAATTTCCTAACCCTAACCCTGGCTTAGTTTACACTATATGCTTTACGTGTAACAAAGTACCTGATTAATAAATTAGAACATCCACAATGGAGGAAGGTCAAGGTAAAAGGGAGAGAGAATACATGGGCACTTAGTTAGAATGACAGTACATCTATATTAAACCATATTTCTCTGTCAGCATATATTTTATTCCTATGAGGTGCATTCAGAATATGTGTCCTTTATTACTAGAGCTATTTCAGTCGGTGTGTGTGAGAGAGAGAAGGGGGGGGGGGATATTGCACTTATATAGAAACATGGAAATGCTCTACAGAATTAAACCATGAGCAAGTCATAAGATAACCTTGGACATTGGATATCAACTGTAATCATTCCCGACCAGTCCATGAAGGCTTTTGAATTAAGAGAAAATAGTCTGATTGATCAGTATTGGAATAGTTTAGGAACCAGTATGGGAGGAGTTTAACATACGCTAAAGGAATTCAAGCTGGTTGCCATAATTTCTTACTTGAAAACAGACTAGTTAAACTTTATAACTGGACTAGTGTCATACATGCTTGGAAAAGTAAACCCATTCATATGTTTTGTTGAACTCATGAAATATATAAATATATATTCTTCTAGACCTTGGAGCATGGAAATGAGATTCAAATAACCAAACTTAAAACTGTATTATTACTTGAATAGTCTGTTGTAGGTTTTTGGCTTCAGGCAACTAACTGAGGATATGTTTCCCCTTTCCTTATTTTCTAGACTGTGCAGTTTGTTCAGGGAATTTTTGTTGAAAAATATGACCCCACAATAGAAGACTCTTACAGAAAGGTAAAATACCAGTTTTTCAAATGTTATGTCAAAGCATACCCTTTATTTTAATCAATGAACTTATACATTTCATGCCTTAACTGAGATAAAATTAACTTACAATGATCAATAGTTCCCTGCAATACAGATTCTGATTGTAGACCATTGGTTCTTTATAGTACTATACTTGTACTATATATTATACTATGCTATAACTATAAACTATACCTATAATTAGATTTCTTTTTTTCTATAAAATGATAAAGATATGATCTGAACTAGAATCATGACCCTCAGGGAAAAAACCCTTGATTCTTCTTCCATTTCATTTCACTGCAAACAAAAACAGATATTTGCTCCAAAAGGGGTGTTGGAGCAAATTATACTCATAAGATAAATAGATTTAGCAGTGATTTGTTGGTAGAAAGTGGGGAATGGTCTTTGAAAAAAGGGCTCAATCAGTACTGTGTGAACTGGTTTTTCCTACTTTTGTAGTTTCTGAAATAATCAGCCATCTTTCCAAAGCCTCGTTCCAAAGAGTTCATTATTAGAAGCCTGTTGCAGCCACATATGTTAATACCAACAATTCCATGGAATGAAATTAGAGTTAATGCAGGCATATTTTACAATATCAGATGAAATACGTAAATCAGAATTTGTTAAAGCTATTTACTTATAGCATATTAATATATCATGTTTATGTGACCTGAAGATGAAATTTAAGATGGTTCCACCATAAAAGTATAGCGGGTTTTTTTAAAAAAAAATATCTCTATGCTTACAGTATTAGTGTACTCTCAGCTAATATAAAACTTTTCAATTGAGTTGAAGTTATTTGGGGAAAACATTTTTTTCAGTATGTGAATTTTCAACTTGTATGTGAATTTTCAACAGTATGTGAATTTTCAACTTGTAAAAGTAACACAAGCTAACTAATTATATGAAAGATTTTTTTATACAAAGTATGTGACTTATATTCCCCAATTATAATTATTGCAATAATTTGTAACTACAAGCCACAACATTTATAAAACCCACAAGGTAAATAAAGTCCTTTATAATTTCATTTCAGATATTTTTACTGGTGATTATAATACATGTCAACACTGTCTAATAAAAAACTTCCAAAAATGAGTACAATTGTCCATTTGGATAAGTATTCTAGTAAAGCTTGACATATGAATAATCAAAGACATGCTTTAATATGTTTAATTTCAAATTGGCAACCTGTGGTAAAGCTAGAAAAAACTGTTCTTTGTTTTACAAACATTAGATATTACTAAATGAAATTGTCTCAGTAAGTTCCTGCCAAAACATATAGAAGTTTGGCAAAGATTGGGTTCATCCAATGCATTAAACCATAATATAGCTTTTTTGGTTTCATCTTAGTATAATTGTCTCCTTTGTAGTTGGGAAGCTATGGCTAATAATGTATTGTGCAAAACTTTGTATTCAGTATAACATAGCTAAACAAACTGATTTAGAGTAATATGCAAAGCACACTACTAAAAACCATGTTGTTATTCTAACAAATTGGAGAATTTGTAGAATAACAAACTATATTGATTAATCTGTGTATTTGTAAACACCTGTGATCATGTCTCACTATAGTTGTGGTCTAAAGCACTGAATTTTTATGTGTCTTGTTCCTTTACTTTTCAGCAAGTGGAAGTAGATTGCCAACAATGTATGCTTGAAATCCTCGATACAGCAGGGACAGTAAGTACAAATCTATAATACATTTTGAAATACTTCCATTTGAAGACGGAAGCAAGAACTTGAGAACTAGTGTTTAGGAGAATGTATCTATCTTCCTTAGTCTAATTTTGCTTATAATATATTCAAGAGTAGCTCACATGCAGTTACATATTTAAGATTGCTTTTATGAGAAATAAATTGGAATCTCATGATCTATTCCAATAATATTTTAAAAATATTTACCCAATTCTGGAATACTTTAGCGTTGCTTAACTATAACTTAACTTTGGTCACTTGTAGAACTCTTACCAGACCAACCTGTTATGGTCATTAGCTAGGGTTAATGTTAATTGAAAAGCAGATTAATATGGAGTTAATCTCCACATTAATATTGACCTTCCTGTATTTTAATACAGCTTTAGTCTTTACAGCAGAAGTTAACAGATTTGATCTGAAGCTATGTATTCCCATAACATATGGTCTGACTACAGTTTTCTAGAGCTAGCCGGTTGTTTCAGTTGTGCTGTGTAAGTGTATACAAGAGAGAAGAAAGAAGAATCTAGTTGGAATATTACACAATTGTCTTTCACTGGAAAAAATAGAGGCACACTCATGTACTGTATGTAAAATATAAGATAAATCCTAAATCAACAGTGGAGAACATCATTGTTTGGGATACATTTTTTTTTCATTTCTAAATTTTCAAAAATTACATTGAAATAATTGATACCGTGTTTCCTCAAAAATAAGACAGGGTCTTATTTTCTTTTGACTCCCGGAATAAGCACTTGGCCTTATTTTTGGGGAGGTCTTATTATTTTTGAGGTGCAGGAGGCAGTGAGCATGGTCACCTCATGGCTGCAGCTGTGTTGCAGTATTTCCAGGGAGGCCTTATTTCAGCACTTGTGCTCAAAAGCCCGATTGGGCTTATTATCCAGGGAGGTCTTATTTTCTGAGAAACAGGATATCATTAAAAATACATTTGCATGCTTCATTGGTTTTCTAGAAGAGCAGA